GCAGGTGTCACGCTAACCATTCGGCGTGATTTTCTGAACTATTAGTTTTTTTATCATAGCTGTTCTTTCCCAGCTGAGCTGCCGCGCAGAGGTCACGAAGAGCAGGCATTCACGTGCTCGGAAATAAAGAAAGGGGAAAGAGGGGGGCTATACTCAAGATATCAAATACTGCAGCTTTCATAGGCGAGAGAAAAGAGACTTCCTGTGCCGACTCCGATTCCAGCGTCTTTAAAAAAACGAACGATATCGAATTCAGCTACTGGTTGGTGCAATTAAGGGGTCGCATGACGTGACTGAGAGCACACCTGGGAGAGGAGTCGGAAGGCCAGGCTGGTGTTGCCCGGCCACTGAATCAGAAAGGGCGCTGAAGTCAATCAACCTGCCCCTTTGGACTGTGGGAGGAAACCGGAGCTCCTAATCTAAACCCACGTGAGCCTGAAAGGAACATGCAACCTCCACCCAGACAGCACCCCGGGGTCCAGAATTGAACCCAGGGCACCAGCGCTGCAAGACCGCTGACCTGTGCGCCACGGTGCTCCCCCTTTTCCCAAGCCTCTTTATTTTTAACCCTTCGACAGCGTTGTGAGGTTTTAGGAGCACCGCAGAGCGATTCAGGGTAACGTCTCAGGTTTTCATTGCAATAAACCTGCAAGTCTTCAGTTCCGGGGCGCTGCAGTGAAACATGAGGGCGCCTTCAAAACGGGCCCAAAGGCGAAACAACGAGGAGCCCGACACTTCATTAAAACCCGCGAACAAAACCGCCTGATGACTACTGTAAGAAACCAGGCAGGGTACTGGGCTGAGAAAAAAAAATAATTGCTGCTGCGTGTAATGGAGTTTCCGTGGAGTGAGCAAAGGAGTGACTGCAGGGTCTCATTCACAGTCGGCAATACCCCGCTGTCCGGAATTATACGCGTCTTCCGAGCTGCCTTGCGCCCGTTGCTTGCTGGGATAGGCTCCGGCCCCCCCTCGGCCCTGTACTGGATAAAGCCGTCAGAAGATGGGTGGGCAGGCAGGAGCAGGCTGATGTGCGAGCTAAGAACTTGTGAAGGGTGCGGTCTTCTGGTACAAGCAAAGCTTAAGATTCAGGTGTACAGATAAAGGAGATCACATACAGCATTGGCAAAACATTATGGGGGGCCTGTGCAGAGTAGTGGGTAAGGGCCCTAGACTTTGGAGGATCGAGGGTTCAAGTCTCAGGAGGCACAGCTGTGGAGGCTTCGAATGAGGCGCCTAGTTCAAACTGCCCCTGTTAACACCCAGCTGTACCACACGTCTCCCAGCCATCACTGCCGATCAGAGTCTGCCCTCCCTCGACTGGTCTTGTCACGTGAAGGGTTACAAAGAGGGCGCCGGCCAACAGAGGAGGTGAATCAAGATCGCCGCGCCTCGTCCTGTCGGGAATGTTAATGTCGGGGGGTTGCAGACGCGGCTCGGCCTCGCCCGCCTTTCGCTGGCCTGCGCGGGCGACTAGAAGCTTCTTCCGACGGGTCCACATCGCTCTGGTACAA